GAAGAAGAAGAAGAAGAAGAAGAAGAAGAAGAAGAAGAAGAAGAAGAAGAAGAAGAAGAAGAAGAAGAAGAAGAGGAGGAGGAGGAGGAGGAGGAGGAGGAGGAAGAGGAAGAGGAGGAGGAGGAGAGGAAGAAGAAAGAACTTGTGGAGGATACAGTTTGTAGAAAAAAGTATTTATGTTTATATACATACATTTTGGCTTGTTGGTTTTGTGGAGCCCAGGCTGTTCCTTCTGAAAGCTCCCTGACACTCAAGCAAGATTAGGCGGCTATCACCCTGGCTCTGTCAATCACTTTTCCCCGGGTCTCAGCTCTCTTCTCTGCTTGACAAAAGCTCTAACTCTAATTTTTAAAATTAATCCTAAACAATAGGGTATTTGCATGACTAGCAGAGACACCTAAACTGATCAATGACTAAATAAATAAATAAATAAATAAGACAAAGCTGTCTTGTGGGGCAGTTCTAAACTAATTGTGACAATCCTTATTGCTAGCTTCATGATGCAATAAACATATTAAATATGAGTCTTCTAAGATACAAATACTTCTCAAGGTTTATGCTTAAATAATTATTACATGTATACTATATATTTATGTTACAACAGTTAAAAATGCTCAAACACCGGATGGCCCAAACAATATCACATAAAATACATCTATGGCATCTATGGACCGATGCATTCTTCTTAGATGGCTATTATTGAAAGATGAAAAATTTGGATAAAAGAATCTTCATATCATTGAATATAATAATATCATAATGATTATTATAATTTGGTATATTGTCCTCAACCTCAAGTTCATTGCATAAAACTTTAGAGCTATCATTTATTAACATTTTATAGGAATTCCACTTCTCTTTCTCTTCCTTTTTTTTTTTTTTTTTTTACATAGGGTCTCACAATGCACTTCAGGCTGGCCGTGAGCTCACTCTGTACCCCAGGCTGACTTCAAATTTGCAACAGTCTTCCTGCCTCTGCCTCCCAACTGCTAGGATTACAGGCACGCACTACTACACCTGGCTTTGAGAAATTCAGTTTTTAAGACAAGCATAATTGATAAAAAAAAAGTAACAGGTCCCTGATTGAACCTCTCAATACTGTCACTGATCTGGCCTATGTGGTGATATTCCACAAGTGATTAAAACTGCCCTATTTGTAATAAAAATGAGAAGATGCTCTTCATGTGCTCCTTATCCCTCTAGAGGAAGTCAACTTTCTTCCAACTCTGACACATTAAGCATGTCACCAATGGTCCTCGCCACCCCACAAGACAGGCCATCAGGGAACAATTCAATGAGCTCCTCAAGACTCAATTTGCAAAACAAAAAGGGGGAAATATGGTCCAATATATCAACCAACACTATTACTTAATTTAGTAAAATTTTAAATTTTCTAAATGGTGATTCAAAAAGTTTCACAGCACTGCAAACTATCAACTCACTACTCAAGCTACACAGATGCTTCAAAGCACAAGCATTCATATATTTCTAAAAGCCTGTTTATTATGAAGTGCGCCTAAGTCACAATTCCAAATTTCAAAGGTCAAAAGATTCCTTATCTTTCTGCATTTGCTGATATATATTTAATAGATGGCATAGCTTATTGGGTTCATATTCTTACCTCATTTGTCTCAGATAAAGTTACATGAAAAGATCCAATATCATCTCTTTCTTCTAACGATACCTCATATATAGACAAAACTTAACTGCTGCTTGCTGGCCTCTCAAGGAAGGGTTGGCTGTAGCCACTCTGGCCACTACAATGGTTGGCACCTGTTACCCCACAAATGCTATTTCGTGACAAAACAACTTCCATTTTATGTAGCCCCAATATCACTAATAGTATTTACTATATTCCTTTCCAGCCCTGATAATAACCAATTTTTAGTATCTCCCAGATGTTCATTATGGTCCTCAGACCAACACTGATTAAAAAACATCCTACAGTAACTTGATGTCCTTCAGCCGCTTGGCTCAACAAACATCAACAAGCTCTTTGCACACACAGTCAACCTAGGGTGACGCCAGTTACCGCTGTGGTCATATCTATCCACATTAATCATTAATAATCCTGAGAGAAGAGCCAACACCTTCTCCATGGTGCCTTTCACACAAATCTATGTGGAGATAATACTAGCCTGCAGGCTGACCACAGGCCCAATGTCATAAATTACCAGTGAAAGCTTGCAGTATCACCTAAAATCACCTTCATAATATTGCCTACTGGCTAATTCCCCAATACTGGTTTCCTGGCCTCGACCTTTGCATTTGAATTCTTATTGCCACTATAGATATCTCTTTGTTATTTTTTCTTAGAGTCCTCAAGGCCCTTTCTATACTGTTCCAGCAGACACTTTCTGCCAAGGCCACAAAGCCCTTCCTGTATCACGCTGGATGTCTGTCTACACTATATATTTTTTCCTCCCTATCTATGATTTTGTCAGAGAGAAGTGTGGAAGACCTGGCCAGGACTTAATGACTAAACTGCAGGGCAAAAGCATGCAGGCTGTGTGACAATCGAATGGTTAAACAATAAAAAGCTTAGATTGATGAAGCATGTTATCTGGCCATTAACCTTTTTCCCCTTTGCCAAGAAAATCTGCTTAGCCTTGATCCAGCTCCTAGCCCAAACTTCTTTTTCTGCTTTTTTCTCCTGCTTTTTCTCTTGCACTAATATTATAATTAAAAGCCAGAGAATTCTCAGCTTGGAGGCTTTTCTTCCTTAGAGAGTCTCCCCAGCAGCTGGGTGTGCTCAAGTTGGAATAGCCCACCTGAGTCTCTCAGTGACTGAACTAAATCTCCTCTCCAAGGGATATTTTTCATCCTCTGTGCCAGCTGCAGTCACCACTGCAATAGTAGAGTACTCGCCTACCATGGGTGAGGCCCTGGATCAAATTCCCACATGAAAATATCCCAATTCTGGTCTTACAGTCAAATGCAAATTCACTGCCATGGTGCATTCTGTTGTAAAATAAACACAGTAACAAACATTCCAAAGAGGCTTTCTCCTTGGTGCTGGCAATGCTTCAGAAGCATCCATAGCTAAGCACCCATTCGGTATCCTAGCTCCACATCTTATACCGTCTTCACAACCACCCCGAAACAGGTAGGCATACTACTGTCACCTTTCTCAGACACACCCTCACCAGCATCTCATGCCAGTTTTCTGTGTGACTGGCTTACTTCCAGGCTTATATGTATATATGTACTCTTCTCTTCTTTTCCTGGGAGTTCAATTCAATGCTCTGAAAAGTATAGTAAAGTAGTGGTGGACATTTTTCTAGGCTTCAGTACTCACCCAGTTTATGAAGAGGGCCTGTGTATATTTCACAACCTCTAGAGTCACCAACAGACTGATGGGAATAAGATTGTTGTACAGGATGATGAATGTCAACAGGTTGTATCCAAAATTATCTGAGCTTGTGTCTGTGGAAGAAAACCAGAACATCCACACAGCTTTAATTATACTTTCTAACTGCTTTGTTATAGCGGGATTGTTCTAAAAGATGTTCACCAAAAAAGCCCATTGCCTAATTTAGGGATTCAAGTTTTAAAAGTTCTTGAACATTTACTGTATGTCAGGAGCTATGACTACAAATACTATCCAGACACTGTGTTTTCCAACAAAGAGCTGGAGTCTGTTGGGAGGTTGCAGATGGTGCAGCAAGCAGAGATATCACGTCCCTTAATGTGACCAACCATGCAGCAGGACAGGCATGAGAGGGCCACTGCAGGAAGCAAGCCTGAGACTTCTTCATGAGAAGGTAGAAGCTCAGGGTTGGAGGTTAGGAATCTGTAGCAGCACCTACCACAGTTACTGAGCTTTTTATAAGAAAAGTAAAGCAAATCATGGTGGTTTGATTCACACTGGATGGTAATGTGATAGGAAAACAAGGTGCTGGGAAAGAACAAGGTGACTGAGCACAAGCCAGCTAGCAGGCTCACCTCTCCACCATCCTTTCATTCTCTGCTCACTACCGAGCCTTCTGCATTTTCAGCTGATGGCTTTCCTTGCTGACATATTATCACTTTGGTATCCTGTTCTTCTACAGAATAAATGAGTCAGTGAACAGAATCTATAATCTCAACAGTTACAGATGCTGGGAAGGTTGAGCACTTGTTTGGAAGCAAATATCCATCTGCCAACTAAAATTAGGCTACATATTAAAAAATTTTAAATTTCTAATTTTGCACAGTAACTAAAAATGCTTCATATTACAGTATCAAAAAGTAGGTACACTCCAAGAAATCTAAACTCAAGTAGAAGCTTCTGGTGCAAAACCAGGAAATAAGAGAAATTAATGAAAAAAGAGAGTCCCATTCTTACATTAAAAAGTTAGCCAAATAATAATAATCAAGAGGAGATGAATAAAGACAGACTGATAGAGACAAAACACGAAATTCTAACAATGACAGTACAAATGTGAAGTCTGATGACTTTGACCAAAGCTACTCAGATTCTACTCAGACAAGAGAGAAAGCTTTAGGGATGGACAAAAAGATCATTGTTGCACTGTACCTCATACAGCTAGTACTGGAGCTCAATGCTAACCTAGCAATTTAAATATCATTCTGTTTCCACAAAGCTTGTATATCAAGATAAAGCCAATACAGTATACTTTCCAAACTATGACAGTGTGTCCCAATGAGTTAATCTTCACATTTGAAACTAGATAATAGTATATATTCAAATGTTAAGAATGAAAACAAAAAAAAAAAAAAAAGAATCAAGGAATCTGATCCAACTACAACTGAAGTCTTAATCACATTTCTCACTCCTATAAGGTGACAATGTAAGTTTCTCTAGGTGGCAGAGCAGATGTATTAATTATTCCTATCTGAAATAATTAGAAACATTAAAAATGTAATCAATTTAACAAAAATATAGTGAAAGATGGAACTAACAGTAACTCTAGGAAAACTCCAAATTTTTAAGCTTTAAATTTATCATGTAATATTTTGTCATTACATCTCATTTATTTTCTAGAATTGCCAGTTACAAAGAGATGGGCAGATATTTTATCCCAGCCCCCACCCAAAGAAACAACACCAATAAAAACGGGCAATTTTTTTAAAAGCTATATAGCTTTAAAGACAAATAAATATATTCAAGAAAATCTGAATCTTTTTTTTTTTAAATCTTGTTGAATGACCGAAATTTGGCATTTAAACCAGAGGCTGTTCCTCCCTCCCATCCTTTGGCAGAATGATTTGCATCACTTAAATTTCATGCTCAGTGTAAATGGGATGAATAGAGGGCTACTAGCACTCATTCTCCACCCTCTTCCAGCCCCATGCTGCAGAAACTCAATTCCAGGGTAGGGCAGGCTGCTACCCTACAGCAGGACAGGCACAAGGACAGGACCATCTCCAGGAGTATAAGAAGAGAGTTCATGCTCAAATCTCAGTGGTAATAATCAAGAAAGGCAAATGTCTCCATAATACAGGAGAGGCAAACAAAAAAAAGGAAACCAGCTAGAACTTTAGCAAGGATATCCATGGGAAGATACAACTAGCAAAGCTTTGATAAGAGCACAGTCATCCCTGAAAGTGCACAAGGTCGTATCAGTGTATAAGGTTACCACTCCTCAAGAAAGACCATATAGGATACTTTCGGCCACACGTCCCTGCTGAGCAGGGCCGGCATTTTTATCTCCCCAAACAATAAAATGCAGACTCTTCAGTGGTTTGAGAGGTTTATGCACAACCTCTAACCAACCATGGACTGACCTCCAAGATCTATGACTCAGAATAATCCAGATTGTAAAGCAAGCAAAGAATTGCTACTAGTAAAGAAAGGAGATTTTACAAAGTGATAAAAATGTTCTAAAGTTATATAGAGGTAAAAGATGCACAAATGTGTGAATGTATTAAAAACCACTGTGCATAATAAACTGTTCATTTAAGAATTAAGAAATAAGAGCAAAAAAATACAACTTATCAGTAATATCACTACCAAAGCAAACAGACTTTATAGAATTAGCACATACCACTAAACACATAAATAAGCAAAGAAACAACAACAGAAGCAACAATAAGTCATACAATAAAAAGAAAATGAAACTCCAAGGTTACTTTATTTTCTAAAATGCTCAGCTTTCAACCAAAAAAAATTAGGAGACTTGAAAAAATCTCAATGCAAACTATTTTGAGAGGCATGCAGATAATAAGACAAACAAAGATATATTAAAGTTTCCTTTAAGAAACAAAATTTTAAAGTACAGTTGTAAATACAGTTCAAATTAAGAATATCAATAAGGAAATAATTTTTTTATTAAAAATCAATCAAGTGGAAATTCCAGAGTTGAAATGCACAGTAAGTAAAGCAAAAAAGTCACTAGTGCACTTGAGTTGGCAAAGAGATGGTAAGTAAACTTGTAGACAGGTCAACTGAGGTTATTTAACCTGAAGAACAGAAAGAAAAATGATGAACAACAAACAAATCCCAAGAATCTGTAAGTCACACAAGTATACAAACATGGACACAATGGTAGTACTAGGAAAAAGATCAAGAATTGTGACAGAAACAATACTTGGATAATACCTGAAAATGTCCTAAATTGTATAAAAGAATAATTTAACTTATACATATATGAAGTTCCACAAAAGTCCAAGCAAAATAAACACAAAACTGTCAGAAACCAAGACAAGACCTTGAAAGCAGCAATGTACAAATAACTCAAATACAAAAAAAAAAAAAAAAATGCAGTAAGATTTACAGCAGACTTCCCATCCACACAATGGAAGCCAGAGACAATGGGACATCATCAAGTACCGGGAAACTGAAGGCTAATCTGAATTCTACAACAATTCTGTATCTAGGAAACCTACCATTTAAGAAACAGAAGATAAATTAAGATATTCTAAGATAAAAATAGAGGTAATTTGTTGCTAGTCCATCAGCCTTCCAAGAAATATTAAAAAGTTCTTTAAGAACAAAGAAATAACATGTGACTAAAATTGAAATCTCCATGAAAAAAACAAAGGGCACCAGTAGACTATACAATACTTATAAAATACAGTGTAATTACATATTTTAATCCTTCTAGATTTAAAAAACAAATTATAAAATTTCATTGTACAATTGTTGGAGTTTATATAGGAAAGAATAAAAACACATGAGGCAAGGAAATGATACCAGTTAGGAACTCATCCACAGAGAAATGAAGAGTAGTAGAAATGGTAAATAAATAGTTTAATATAAAACAACTCCAAAAAAATCTTTATTTTATGTTGCTTGAGATAGCAATTATATAAGGCAATATACTTATAACAGTATTATTAGGTTGATATCATAGATACAATATTATGACAATAACATGGGCAGGGAACAAAATGAAAGTATACTGGAGTGATGTTTCTGTATTTTATCATAATAAATATTCATCCAAAGTGGATTCTAGTGGTGTAACCCCTAGAAAAGCCTCAAGAAATACCTTCAAAATCATTGAAAAATAATTTGTGCATAAAACAATTCTCAAATATGCTTATCTTCACAATGTCATGTGATTCTTAATCTTTTACTCCTACTTGAAAAACAAACATTATGTACAGCATCCAAAGAAAACAGAAGGATGGCGTGGTCTGCCTACACAAACCACCCATGAAGGTGCTCTCCATGAGTGGCTTTGTCCTACTTCAACAAACACCTACCCTCATACTCACCCATCTTCTTGATGTACCAGTTTTTTCCACCGTGAGACCCATTCCAATACAGAGCCCCCACGGAGCTCACCAGGGCCATTACCAATAGGATGCCAAACAACACTAGAATCTGCACATTGGTTACTTTCTCAACATTTGATCTCTTGAGAGGCGCTTTGGTTGAATTCTGTAAAACAGCATTGAAAAACCATAAAGGCTATATATCAGATTTCAGGGTCAGGGATAAGAATAGACAGAAAATGAGATATGACAACCAAAACTGACAAGAAAAAAATAAAAATCTATTTACTTTCAAAAAAACTCATTAAATTAAAAAGTGTATTGCATCCTTGAATCAACAGCTAGTTTTAAGTAAAGAAGAAAGGCAGTCTACCAGATTAGAAAACATACTTCAACTCTGTCTGATGTTTATATACTTTTCATGCTTAAATCCTAGCATCATTTTAGTCACTTTATCTTAGAATACAACAGGCTCTAAGCAACATAAGTCATTTTAAAAGAAATCAGTGTACTGCTGATTCAAGACAAACATAGAAGCTCTAAGCTGAAAACATCTAAAGAGAACCATTGAAGTAAAAACACAGCTCTATAATATGTATGCAAATAGATTTATTTTATTTTTTATCTTTTCATTTTAATGAGAAAAAAGATAAAATAGCAATGAAACAGTTTCAAAACAGGTTAGTAGGACAATTACAATAATTAATACATTGCATATTGTTGTCTTCCTAGTTGTTATTCAGAGGACAAGATGCAGACATGATATCTAAACAATATTAGTACAAACCTTCCTTCTCAATGAACTAAGAGAAAGAAGCTGCATCTCTATCCTAACTTATATATATATATATATATATATATATATATATATACATATATTCTCTCTCTCACACACACAGAGTCCTTTATTTATAGCCCCTTATTTTTGTCTTGTTTTGTCAGAGATGGGTGTTCCATTGCTGTAAGAGAAGATGTATTTGGAGAAGTCTTTAAAGAACCTTTTCATACTTGATGCCAGACCAAAGATTATAGGTAGTTGAATTCAACAAAATAACCCAATACAGTTCAATATTCCATAATAGTAATGGGTTATCAGCACAACTGGTAATTGTCCAAAATTGTTGACTTGAACCTTTTACAGCTCAGTATATTAATATAGCTTTACTTTTTATACCTCATGGTTACAATTTTCTGCTGGATGGTTAAGACCAAGTTAAAGCAAGACCTATGTAACTCAAAATGTAAATTTTGCTATCAGACAAAGTCAGTCAAATCCCCTCAGGATTTATGCCGGAACCATGCACAACACATTCTGGATCTTTTGTCAGGATCAGCCATCTGGATGAGTCATGGTCACTGCTTGACCAATTTGCTCTCTGTGAAAGCATTAGAGAATTTTTTCTCTCTAAGTGACTCTCCTCAGGAACAACATACATTGTTGATCACTTTCCTCTGTGGCCCCATAATCTCCTTGATCAGAATATTTGAGTTACAGGATATCGCAGCACAGGTACTCTTATGTCCTAAGTCCTCACTGACCTTGACAGGCTAGGTCAAAAATACTGGCTATCCTCATAGCCCCTCTATTTCTCTAATTTTTCTTCTGCCAACTTTAGTTGTTAAACATTCAGAAGAGAAGCTCAATGATATTATTGCCCTGTAACAAAGACAGTTGGGCTTATCATCACTACCTGTATGAATATCAAAAACATGGAACTGCTATTTTCAACATCATAGATATTCTAAACTTTATATCCATACAGAATGTGATAAAAACAATAACACATTTTTACACAGAAATTTATCAAACCATATACATCATTGTAGTAGGACAGTCCTATGACATTTTTATCTCTTGTTTTCCTTTATTACACTTTTTTTTAACAAACATTTATTGTAAAGAGAGTATAACAATAATTGATATGACACTAGAGGCAGTACACATTTAGAAGTCCAAAATGATGGGCATTTGAAGCATGGTTTTAGTATTACACATTGTTATCCTCACTGTAGTTACTTAGTTCACAGATATGAGCATATATAGTTAGTCAGGGTGAGAATTCTACTCATTAACTGCTATTTTCCAAGAACCTGATGGAGATTCTTAGGACCACTGCCTTAACCACCTTGTTTATATAAATGTTTGGTTTTGCCCTGCCTTCTTTCCTAGCTTTTCTCTTTGCTCTCTCCTCATTATTTAATTTTTAAGTTATCACTTTCCATTTAACTGTGTTACATTTTTCAATTTTTATTTATTCATTTGAGATCCAACACTAGGGAGACAATACAATACTTACACATGTGTGTCTAAGTTTATTTCAGTTATGAATATATCTTCATGTGGCAACCACTTATATATGAAGGCTTTGAGTTTAGTTTTCTTTATAGCTGAGTAATACTCCATTGTATAAAAACATCACATCTTTTTCATCCATTCCTCGGGTGACAAGCATTTTGGTTGTTTTCAACATTTGGCTATCACAAATTACACTGCTATAAACATAGGCACACATATATTACTATGATATGATGTTTTCAGTTCTTCTGGGAAAATTTCCAGTAAGAGTATAGCTGGATTGAAGGGGATTTCCAGCCCTAGTTTTTTGAGGAGTCTGTACACTGATTTTCATAATGGTTGCACCAGTCTACATTCCCACCAGCAATGGAGAAGGGTTCCTT